GGAAGGAAGATCCCGTCAACACTAAGAGTAGATTTTACTTCTCGGTAATAAGAGGACAACGAAAATAGAGATGTAATCCGAAAAAATGCTATGAGAAATGTGTTATTGTTTTGGAACGTGCGGTCTTATTACCGAGAAGTAAAAACAAGAACAAAATCTACTTCCATACCTGATGATGTCTGTAGGAACAGACGAAAGCTTGTAAAAAAATTAAAAAGACCTTATGCAACTGGAATTTATAAACAGGGATCATATCATTCATATATAGGTTCGGGGTTGGTGTATCTTATTTATACTGTTTGCGATGATTTAAATCATTAACCTCTATATTTGTTTTTTTTTGCATGAATGATTCATGAATTTATAAATTATAATTGCACCTTTTTAATTGAAATATATATATATATATATATATATATATATATATATATATATATATATATATATATATATTGTGTGTGGGGTGTCAGGAGAAAGAGATAAAAAATAGGGGAATGTAGTGAGTTTGATTTTGAATCTGAATCATTTTTAGTGGTAACATTCGTGTGAATGAAAATAATGATTATGTTAGTAGACTGCAGTGGTCGATTGATTTTCGTGTAGAAGTAGAAAGTAATTGCGAGAAAGTGAAAGTGAAAGTAGACAGGAGAGCATTAACTGCTCAGTCACTTTCAGTGGTCAATGAAAAATGAGGGACAAAACAACGGCAATGATCAAAACAATCCCGGCGACGGTCCCACCCCTTTTTACAGCCCATCGGTCATTTGTCTGTCTCTTAAAAGGTCAGAGCAGCATCTCACCTTCAACACTGGTGACATTTTCACTTTTCCCTCGCGCCTCAATGACATTTATACACGCCCATCGTTTGCATCTACAAATCTTTGAAGACAACGGCAACAGGTTTAGGCATTTTTGTCTCGATCGACGTCATTATCGCCTATCTTGTAATGGGTTTGAACACACTTTGATCTTTATTGATTACGTAAAATGGCCCCCCACACACACACTCAGGGGCAGAAAATGACAAGAGAGTGAGGGGCAGAGAGAAAGAGGTAGGTAGAAGGACAGCGACAGAAACAGAAAAATAGCCAAGAAAGAGATACCGGAAGTGAAGCAGATAAATAGTGAAACAGAGAGCGAAAGAGAGAGAGAGAGAGAGAGAGAGAGAGAGAGAGAGAGAGAGAGAGAGAGAGAGAGAGAGAGAGCGAAAGAGAAAGAGAGAGAGAAAGCGAAAGAGAGAGAGAGAGAGCGAGCGAAAGAGAAAGAGAGAGAGAGAAAGAAAGAAAGAAAGAAAGAAAGAAATAGAGAGATGGACAGCGACAAAAACAGAAGAATAGCCAAGAAAGAGATACCGGAAGTGAAGCAGATAGATAGATAGTGAAACAGAGAGCGAGCGAAAGAGAGAGAGAGAGAGTGAGAGAAAGAGAGAGAGAAAGCGAAAGAGAGAGAGAGAGAGCGAGCGAAAGAGAAAGAGAGAGAGAGAGGCAGGCAGGCAGAAAGAAAGAAAGAAAGAAAGAAAGAAAGAAAGAAAGAAAGAAAGAAAGAAAGAAAGAAAGAAATAGAGAGATGGACAGCGACAAAAAAAAGAAGAATAGCCAAGAAAGAGATACCGGAAGTGAAGCAGATAGATAGATAGTGAAACAGAGAGCGAGCGAAAGAGAGAGAGAGAGAGTGAGAGAAAGAGAGAGAGAAAGCGAAAGAGAGAGAGAGAGAGAGAGAGCGAAAGAGAAAGAGAGAGAGAGAGAGAGGCAGGCAGGAAGAAAGAAAGAAAGAAAGAAAGAAAGAAAGAAAGAAATAGAGAGATGGACAGCGACAAAAACAGAAGAATAGCCAAGAAAGAGATACCGGAAGTGAAGCAGATAGATAGATAGTGAAACAGAGAGCGAGCGAAAGAGAGAGAGAAAGCGAAAGAGAGAGAGAGAGAGAGAGCGAAAGAGAGAGAGAGAGAGAGAGGCAGGCAGGCAGGCAGAAAGAAAGAAAGAAAGAAAGAAAGAAAAGAAAGAAAGAAAAGAAAGAAAGAAAGAAAGAAATAGAGAGATGGACAGCGACAAAAAACAGAAGAATAGCTTTTAAGAGATACCGGAAGTGAAGCAGATAGATAGATAGTGAAACAGAGAGCGAGCGAAAGAGAGAGAGAGAGAGTGAGAGAAAGAGAGAGAGAAAGCGAAAGAGAGAGAGAGAGAGAGCGAAAGAGAAAGAGAGAGAGAGTGAGAGGCAGGCAGGCAGGCAGGCAGGCAGAAAGAAAGAAAGAAAGAAAGAAAGAAAGAAAGAAAGAAAGAAAGAAAGAAAGAAAGAAAGAAAGAAATAGAGAGATGGACAGCGACAAAAACAGAAGAATAAGCAAAGAGAAAGAGACGGGGAGTGAAGCGGATAGATAGATAATAATACACAGTGATAGCGAGCGAGTGTGTGTGTGTGTGTGTGTGTGTGTGAGAGAGAGAGAGAGAGAGAGAGATTCGGAGAGTAGAAATTCTTCGACTCTTGTATAGTTTAATTTCATATATAGTTTAATTTTTAAAGAGGATTCCCTCGTTTTTGCATCGTACCTTATCAAATGCTTTCGGTTATCTTATGATCATTGTATAGGTTAAATAAATCCGGTTAGAGGATGCCGTCTTACGCCCCGCCCTGTATTCTTGTATTCAGGCGGTTCCCCCCCCTGCCACCCCGCTCCCCCCAAAAAACATTCCGGAATATTCTAATATCTTTCCCAAATAAATCGAGTCTCTCTTGCAGTTCAAATAAAACTTTGTGTCATATCTTATGAAATGTCTCAAAAGCGTATTCTATGAAACATAGATACTAAGAAAAAAAAGTCAGTAAGAATTTGGTAGAGTCTGACATTGAAATCCGATCCAATATGCCACTTCTAACCAATTTATTAACTCTGCTATGATGATCAGCACAAAATATATTTCTTTAATTCAGTTTAGTCTGACAGAAGGATGCGATTCTGGAGTCCTTCTAACGCACCTAAAATGCGACTTCGAGTCGTGTACAACATCGGAGATGTATACAGATTCACCACGTGAAGTGCTAGCCCGTTGTCAAATGTAGCCTTTTTTTAGATTATTCTGATAACTTTCCCGAATGGCTCCTTGCAAGCCTGAACTATCAAAGTCGCTTCTTTTTTCATCTGAAGAATACAATATTAACTTAGATTCAAGACGTATGCCTTCACTAAACATAGCGTGGCCTGTATATTTGTGTTGCATTGTTAGTACATCATATGTGGCTGGAATTGATGGTTAAGCGACAGCGGTCGTTGATCCGTAGTAGAACGTACTGATTGTGTTCATGCATCGTCTTCAGGCCAATACATCTAGGTCACACTATGTTTCTTTCTGAACGTCAACTCAGCTGTCTTTCACTGGGAAAAAAGGTTTCTTGTAGTAATTCGCGCAATGCATATGATCCATATTAGCCAATTTTATTGTCCCCGAGAAGTAAAATATTGCCGACTACTTGTCAGTGACGGAGAGGTTGTAGCGAGTGAGAGAAACTCTCTCAGCATCTTGAAGGTCCTCGTGTTCGGTACTAGACGAAAAATTATCAGGAACATATATTTGGCGGAAGAAACGCACCCTTTTTTTTTACCAAGAAATCTCATTAGTTGCTGATTCATCAATTCACGGGCCAATGAAAGAACACCGCCACATCTTTTCTTTTTTTCTTCCGGGACATGTGACTGTAACTGACCCTATCAAATATAATGTACTTCAAAAATACGACACATTTCCAAGTACATGTGTGGCTGTTTATTAATTATGAAATCATTTTTTCCTTCTTAAGTCTTAAGCTTTTATTATTAGCCTTTACTTTACACACACAATGTTACGTATACGGTACGCATCGAAAGGTATCAAGTTAAACCTTCAGAACATAGCATGTGTCACGGCATCCCTCGGGCTCGGTTTTCCCCCGCATTAAAAAACGGCCTTGTGCCACATCCTACCTCGTGGGGAGGTAAAGTAAATATCCTTGCTTCGGAAATTAGTTGGAGATTCGTCTCCAGCTGAGCTGGTCGAACTTTCTGCAAAGAAGAACCCAGATGAGGTTATGCCGATGGCAGAGTCTCGTCTGCGGTGATAGACAGCTACCCGACCCCGTGTATACGGAGTCTATGGGGAATTTTTGCCCGAGCCTACGAGCTCGGATACCCCACGTTAAATTCGGCCATGTGCCACATCTGACCGCGTGGGGCGGTTGGTAAAAATCCTTGCTTCGGAAATTACTAGGCTGCTAACCGATTCCCTGTCTTTCAGTAGTGCATTCTCTTTTACAACAAACCTCTTTTTCTTTCATCTACGCGCGTGTTGCTGTTCCTTTACTCGAGTACCACCTTTGTCTGTTTGTAACCTCTTTAAGAATAAAACAAAATATATCTCTCTCCCCAGATCATGCCAGAATAGACTTGGGATTCAGTGCCCTTCAAATATCTCTCTCTTCCCGGATCATTTCAGAATCGGTGCCTTCGGGTAAGCTAGATGCAGGGTTAACCTGATAGATGAGTTTAGAGCCCCGTGATAGTCCCCAGCAGACTCTGATATGCGCTTTTTATGTGAATAAACAAACAAAACAAAACGTTTTGATAGGTAAATATGAAAATACCGAGGTGTTTTCTTACACCGAAGACGAGAATGTTAGGTCCACGCCCAGATGAGGGCCCGGGACCACACACCAACCCACTGGACGATATTAATTGACGAAGTCCAGAGTTGAACAAAATGTTAGGTCACGGATGGGAGATTAAGTCACTGGTCAACTATTTACAGACATTTGGCTTAAGGCTCCAGAATTTCATGACAACGTTGTTCAAAAGACACGTAGTTTAGCAGATTAAGGCTTTCATTATTGGTACATTCCTGCTTACCTAGAACCGGCGCGTTCAATCCACGTTCATGATTGCGCAGAACACTTACTTAATTTAGATCAGAGCCAGTAAATGACAAAGTTTGTTTTCTGAAAAAACGAATGACAACATCTACGTGGTTGTTATAGTCGTCGTGTGCAATTATAACGCTGACAATTTACTGGCATATGCAATGAACCGAAGATATTATTGGTGAAGTAATTTATATATCAATTAACAAGAATAGAAGCGATAAATTTTCAGAAATCGATGGAGAAACAGCTGCTAAAGACAGTTAAATGAAATCATGGAAAATAAAATATAATAAAAAAACATTGAACAGTGTGTCTTAATAATTTCCAGATTATTCCATAAAAAATCTTTTAACAAACACATTAAATAAAATGGTTGGGCATTACGTTTCTGTAATAAAACAAAAAAAAGTTTTTCTCCAAGAAACTCGTATTTGGTTATACCATAAAAAGGAAGAATTAGAACGTTTGAGTGCCGACTCTGAGATCCAGGTTCAAATCACACAATAATCAATTTGTCAAGAAGGTAGTTTTTAATAATATCGGCCTGTAGAGGCAAAAATAATGTTCGGTTCCGTTGAAAAGAACCTGGAAACCATATCTCGGCTTGACCGAAGACATGTAAAAAATGAGTGGGCAAAATATTTCGGAAGTTTTGAGATGTCAACGAACACTCGTTGCCACTTGTGTAATGTTAACGAATACTCGTTGCCACTTTCGTAATGTTAGTTGTAGTAGAGACTTTGTAATCTCAGATAGAAACTATAGTAATGCCATTGAACAATACTGGTGTGAGACGCCTTCGGATATCACTCGCACTAATAGTACTTGCTCGATAATACTCGCTCGAAAAGTAACCATCGTATAGTGATCCGAATAGAGAAATAGTATAGTGAATAGAGTAGAGAATAGCGAACCTTATAGTAATAGAGGATAAAGTAGAAATGGTGATCCGAATAGTAATAGAGGATAGACTAGAAATAGCGATCGTTTAGACGTCAGGCTATCTCCTACTTATGCGTTTTCTCTATAGTCACGTGATCAATTTAATTATGGGGTCGCCTGTGTTTGCTCACTGGCAAACTATGTTCAAAACTCAAGTGTCGGTAGTGACACTTTATTCCTATATAACAGGAAGCCATCGATTAAATTCACAATTAATTGAAAATGAGCATTCAACGACTGATCACGCCAGATTATGTGTTATCTCCCAGAAACTGTAACTAATGTTCGCTCAGTATAGTTGCAGGTTAGCTCTGAGGGGTTGGGGTGTGATGAAACGCAAATATGTCTGAGCAAGCAATAGGATTTAAATAACAGCATTCACAGTTGGGTTTACTCAGAAACGAATAAATAATTTTAAAAGGAGCTTGCAAACCGCTTTATTTAATACATATAAAATTTTGCAATACATTACTTCCGGTATCTCTTTCTTGGCTATTCTTCTGTTTTTGTCGCTGTCCATCTCTCTATTTCTTTCTTTCTTTCTTTCTTTCTTTCTTTTTTTCTTTCTTTCTTTCTTTCTGCCTGCCTGCCTGCCTCTCTCTCTCTCTCTCTCTCTTTCGCTCTCTCTCTCTTTCTCTCACTCTCTCTCTCTCTCTTTCGTAAGTAATATTTTTTCTTATAGACATTTACTCCAAAGTCTTTTCATATACACTGATAAAATCTATGAGTCAACTATATATATATATATATATATATATATATATATATAAAAGTGAACATAGAAGTCAACACTTAGAGGTGACAGTCTGTTTCATGCTATATGCAATCGTGGCCTGACGATTGCATATATCATGAAACAGACTGTCGCCTCTAAGTGTTGACTTCTATGTTCACTTTTATATTTACACACGCTCTATCTCTGATATTGAGCACTTTATCCCATAAATATAGCACACCTTAAGACTATATTTCTTTATATATATATAGATATATAGTTCGAGTTTGAATACCAGTCGAATCCATTATACTTATATTAAATGCTAATACCCTTAAGAAAGGTATTAATTAATCTTCTTTTTCTTCCTCCAGCTCTAGATAAATACTGGGTTTTATAGCATTGGTTAGCAACTGGTCTAGGAGAAGGACAACTTTGAATTCAAAACCTGCGGAGGGCCGTTTGGGGACCTTGTGACACATAGTGCACCAGGTTTCTTTATTCGGCCCTTTAAAAAGTGAGGTTGGTTCTGCACAAAGCCTTCACCAATGTAATCAAATCATATGTGCTGGTGTCTGGATGTCGGTTCCTAGGAACTGAGCTGCTTAACCCTCATACATCGATTACAACGGGAGAGTCGACTATATATATATATATATATATATATATATATATATATATATATATATACACACACACACACACACACACACACACACACACACACACACACATACACATATATATATATATATATATATATATTAGGATTATTTGTTTCATCTTTTGTGAAGGTGTATTCTGAGATGCTGGTAATTTTGAGTCATTATTTTAACCTTGGTCTAAAATCCGCTAAAACTACTTGCAGAATTCCGGAAATGTAATGAAAGAAGAGTATTGCTGAAAACAGTTCTAAAATATATTCTCTAGGTGATAGTTTATACTGATACATTCCT